GGCCAAGTATTATCCTAACTGCAGTTTTAGGATAAGTGGGAATCAACCGTAAGTCAGTAGGCAAAAGTCCTAGCTGTGTGTTGAATGTAAATAACCTATTGCGATAGGTAACTCGGATTGCACACTCGCAGTACTTTATAATGATTATTTACTAAAATCATTGTGATTTATTCGTTTTTCATTCATTTTAAATTAGGCATTGATATTTTGAATGTGTACAAATATGGTGCTCTGGTAAAATAACATCTTAACATCATAATTATAAATACAAACATATTAGTTATAATTATTTAAAAAATCTTTCTAGACAAAGTTATTTGAGAACAAAAATTGGGCAATCTCATGTTTACAATGGATTGGTTTACACCATATTGATAGAGAACAGTAAGAAAATTATTATTTATTATAAAAATTTTCAAGTTATGCTACTGTACTATTGTTACTACAGTTAATACCGCATGTAATAATTAATTTTCACAAATATTTTTTATTTAGTAACAATATTTCTGAAAATTTATTTATTAAATTAACAAGTAATGATAAAAAAAAATCAAAAGATTTATTAAAAAAAGAATATTTACCAGAAACTTGGAGGTAAAAAGATTTTTTTAATTTTTTTAATAAAATTACCAATCATTCATCACTATTGTTATCAAATTACTGACTAATTTTATTGTTAAAACAATAGAAATGAAATACAAGAAATCCTAAATTCTAACAAAAAATGTGAAATAGAATCATTATGTTATGATGATAATGAAAACTTACTAAATTATTTAATAGCAAAAGTTAATAATCCTACATCATGGTTATAGTCAATTTGCACATAAAAATTAAAAAACTGAACAATCAATCTCAAGATGGATAAACCAAGGATTCTCAATCAACTCAGTAATATCAAGGTAATAAAATCCAAGGGTTCCATTCCCAACACAAATTAAATTACGATTTAATTTGTTGAAAGGAAAGTATATCATGCTTAATGGCTTAAGTGTACATGGGCATTTAACCAATTACAAATATATAGAATATTATTATTATTTAATTATTCACATATGTATATGATTATTTGATATTACTGAAATAAATAAAAAATAAAATAAAAATTAAAATGATAATAATAATAAAATTAATATGCTAATTCTTCATCGGCTTGTTTTTCAGTTAGTTCTTCATTATTGTCAGCAACCACCCAACTAATTACAGGCGAAACAATAACTTCTATATTACCATCATTGTTGCTAACGGTTTCTTGTTTGTAGCCTATAAAACCAGTAATAAGTTGTAACTTTAAACCATCAAATCCAAAAGGTACACTAACTCGACCGTAAGGTAAATCATATAAGTTCACAATTCCTCCTAAAGGACGGCCAGCACGGTTGTAAGGAAAGAATGTAGCAATCCAACCAGTTAAAGATTTTTGTCCACCAGAGCCATAACTTTCATAAGTGAAAGCTTTACTCCAAAAATCTTCATATATTTCACCTTTATAAGTTGAAACAAATTGCCAAATAATTGGATCTAATTTGTTTAACCAAAAGTCTAAATCCAAATTTAATTTACGTAATCGAAATAACTTTTCTTGAATTTTCATCCAATCTTCTAAAGTACCAGTTAAAGTAATCTTTGGAATTCCACATGCAAGCGTCATACTATAACTAAAATAGGCTTTAACAGTATCTAATAATACGATATTACTAGAAGTTTTTGTAGTAGGAGTTGTAGTCGTAAAATTACATTCTAATAATTGTTTTAATTCAACTTCTTCTTTAACACGTCTATCAGTTGCATCTGTTAAAATCTCAACTGCTTGGTTCCAATTTCCTACAATACCACTACTGGTTGGACTTAAAATACCCATAACGTTAATGCAAATGTCTTTTTTACCTTCATGATTAACGAACATATAACGATATTTTTCTGAATTAAAATTAATATGATGACTGACTCCTTGAGCAATAGTTAACCAAACATCATCCGGAGAAATTTTTAAATGCTGATGTTCATTATAAGCTTGCAAGAAAGCGGAAATAAACCCATTTGGAGTTGGAGTATTTTCAACGATTTGGGAGTTGGTGGAATTTGGTTCAGAAATTGCGTGAATACTGTTTGATTTTAAAATCTCTTTATATTTATTTTCAATATTAACATGATTTAAAATTTTGGTTCCGAGTTGGATTGTTTTAGAAAGAATTTGAGTTGACATTTTTTTTTTTTGTTCTCAAGAAAAGAATTTTCTTACCTATAAATAATAATTTTTGGTGTTACAAACTTTTCCATTTTGAAACCGGTTTGGCTATTATCTGCCTAAAAGTAATAGATATATAGAATAATAACATTCCAAGTATATTAGGGGATACGCCAACAACAACAATAAAGAATGTTTGATAGAAAAGCCTTTACATTTAAATTCCTTCTTTTTACAATTGGAATGGTCTTCTACATATTATTATCTTTGTATTTCTTCCATATGTATTACTTAAGATGAACAAAATGATAATATTATTAATAGAATATAAAATCCACAATTACTAATCTAATTGAAAATGTTCTATAAAAAGATTACGATCAATAAAATAATGATCAAAATGTGATGGTTGTCGTTGTGGTTTCTTTTGCAGTGATTGTTTCTAGCACTAATTCTTGAAGGAAGATTAGATAAGTCGTATAATATTTGCAACAAACGCGAAATACCAATAATTGTCCTTTATTGAATTATGATTGGATTATCTAATGGAATAATATTGAACTATGGGACTCGCAGAATTAATATTGGCATAATAAATTGTTATTGGAGTTTTTTATCTTCAGCTCGACGTATATATATTTTATGCGAGTAATAATAGATTCGAAACTGTCAAATTCTTTTACATACACTCTGAAGCAAACGTAGTAACGTATATTATTGCAATATGAGCATGAATATTTAAGATGTGTTTTAATCTTGACATGCTTCGCGGTGTAAGATTTCCATTAATGATATGATTTTGGATCAACAAAAAAATTTTCAAATATTCGGAGAAAAAAAGGTTGTCGTAAAGAATCTATATTTTGAATAATCGCGTTAAAAAAGATGCCAAAATATGTCTATAGGCAAGAGACAATCACATTACGCGATATTGATAGTATAATTACATCGAACTATTCTAAAACTTTTGTATATACCACCGAAATTATTTATTATCTGGTTTTTGTTACGCCATATTACTATAGTTGGCTCGGTCTAAAGACCTCCTATTGCTACACCATGTGGTCTTTAGACTGAGATAGATGTTGGAACCGGTTTGGTACAATCGATTTAAAACCGGTTGCAACCGGTTGCAACATAAAACCGGTTATATACTATTTTTCATATTCGATAAACCGGTTTTATTAAATTCTGTTTAAAACCGGTTCTTGAAAATAAAACCGGTCCCAACCTCTAGACCGAGTCGACTATATATGGCACGGTTCATACAAGAGCAAAAATGGCTCAAACACTATTTCATAATCAGCTTTATTAATATTGCAAAAAATAATCCATATGTACTTTTTAATCTAACTATCTATATATTTTTACCATAAAAAAATTAATCTACACAATTTCCAACCTTTAGACGACCCCCATACCATCTATTACTTTCTGTATGGAAATAAATGGCCAAACACAACAGTTATCTATTAATCTTGACACCAAGATAATGATGGCAATTAACTGCCTGAATGGTTGTGGGTTTTCGTTTTCGTTAATTAACCAAATAATTCCACCACGAACCCTCAACATCCACTTCACCAACTCCTCGTCTATAACTAAATCCCGGTCCACCATGCCTTTTACTTTTTCCACATCAATCCAATATACAAAAATTCCATTAAATCCCTCATTCTTTTTAATGAAATCAATTGCATTATCAAGTGATGGGTTCAGGCAAAGGTTCTGAAGGTACCCAAAATTGAGCCTGTGCATGCAACGATTGAGCATGACTCCATCTATACATGCTACCCAATCCCAAATGTAGAAAGTAAATTTGGAGCAGCTTGTCAAAGAATTCCCAAATCACTTGTACACCCATGGCATTCTGCCTCCAATACTGCAATAAGTGCCCAATGCTAGATGCTTGTTGGTCAGGAAAGCAGGGACAGGATGTTTGATCTACATTTGGGATTTGTACATACAAAGTAATTTGGAATTTTGGATTCTTGATTTTTAATTTGGACAGCACTTATAATTCCATTCTTAATGATGGCTTGGACGCTTTGGTAGTTTGTTATGTGAAAGAAATCCCAGTAGTTAGTGTTTGTTGGATCAGTGACTTTGGTGCTGCTCATCAACAAGACATTCTCTCCAATAGTGGTTGTTTCGTTAGCTGTATTGAAATTGTGGATTGTAGAAATTGCTGTCAAAATTCATCCTAGAAAAAGGATCCCATGGATTGTAGACCCAGACCAGTAGTCAATGGTTTAAAACTCGTTGAGACCAAATGGTATTTTGCGCACATTATGATGGAGTTTGCTTGCAGCCTTTTCTGTAAGACTCACTTCATAAACAATTCTTATTTTCATCTGATTCCATACTCTCACTTTCTTAATGCCAACAAAGTTTAGTGGATTCAGTTGCTCGCATTCTTCAAGAAAGTCGGACATAATTTCCTTGTTGGTCTTGAGGTCAAGACAAGGCTTCTTTGCCAGAAAGGAGCTAACAAGACTCAATTGAAAACCACGGTCAGTAAAATGTAGCTTCATATGGAGAACCATAACCATCTGAAATCATGCTTGAATCTTTTAATCTTGTTCAGTTAATGTTGTTATACTGTACATGGGAACTTGGAAGTGTTTATATAAAGAAACTTAATGCTTACCTTCAATGACTTTCAGACGTTTAAGGAATGTTTGATATAGAACTCCTATCACCACAAAACATCCTAATGACATACTTACTTCACATCCTATTGCCATATAAATTTTCACCTGTCAATCTCACTCAATGAGAATTTTGACTGTCCAAAACTACTATGTAATTAAAACTTTTGAGATAATGCTTGTTTGATTAAAGTAAAGTTAATGATGTATCGTAATTATCACCATTATGGTCAAAATTGTCATTATTACTAGTCGCCATGATAATGACTTGATGATGAGGATGATGGTTGTGGTAATATTATGATTTTGCTTTTAAAGAAAAAGTCTATTTTATTTACTTTCAGTAAAAAACCAAAGCCACAGCATGGATAAATATACTATTTATTATCATAGCAATAAATAAAACCTTTCTTGTAATTAAAATCAGACTTTTTTTTTTCATCGTTAATCAGATATGTATATATACAGTGCACGAAAAAAGTTGTCGCAATGGAATTTTTATTTATTGTGCAACGAAAAAAAGCTAACAGTACATGAAAATCTATAGATATTCTCTCTATGATTTGATAAATAAGTTTACTTAATTTAAAACTACTTAGCTTATCTTATTACCATTTTCTCAATCACTTCATTTAACCTTGACGGCATACTACAAATTTTTTTGTCGATCCCATTCTTTCTGAATTATTCACGAAAACTTTCCGCAGTAACTGGTTTTTTTTTTAAATTAACACTTTATTGGCTTGCTTTTCGGCACGTCCGTTTAAAATTTGCCACAAATTCTCAATTGGATTGAGACCTGGGCTATTTGATGGCCAATCCAACATTTTTGGGCAAGAAGTTTTTTAGTATACCTAGCTGTCGTTATCTTGTTGAAAGATCCAATGGTTTCCCATGATATAGTTTGCATTACCAAATAGTTTTCAGTTAAAATCTTTCAAAAGTCATTTTATTCCGAAAACTTTTTTCGTAACAACCTTTTTATCTTGAATGAATTTATTTTTCAATAGCATTTATATTACTTTCACCTTTTGCTTCATCAATAATTACTTTAACCGTCTTTTCAATAGTAATTGAAACAGGGGAAACTTTAAAATTACATTTTAGGTATCGCTATTATTTTTTTTTGAAACTTTAAGGGAAAAAATCTCAAAATTTCGTTATACAAAGTGGGTATAGTTTCTATGTCAAAAATATTCAACTAAAGAGTTACAGAATTTTCTTCTTCAGAGTTTCCCTGTTTTTATTGAAAAATTCTCATATGATCATGATCACTATATCCAAGAAAAGAGCAAAAGAATTAAAATCCTATTCATCAGAAAGTTCTATTCTATGTCTATTAAGACTGTATATGGATAATTTCTTTTATGTATCTGAATTACTTGTATATTTTAAATAATTCTATGATTATCATTCAGGAAATCGGCTTAGATTTTAAACTTTAGACGAGAACCTAACATTTACAATATACCAATTGCACCTTTATCTGGACCTTTTTCTTCTCCTTGCAAGAAGTTATGCAAAAGGAAATTTATTTCATCATGGAAAAAAGTGTTTGCAATTTATTTGCTAGCGCATATATATAATAAATCAGTGTTTACGCTACTTATACAGTTGTAATGACAGGAATTCAGCAGTGTTTCCAGTTGTATGTGAACTGTTCATAGGAGCAAGTTTAGCACAGATTGTTTGTAATAAAACCGAGTGGTCCTACCCCAATTTGCACAAAGCAAAACTTCAGGCGAAGAAAAGGAATAATGATCTGTCAACACCAATCTCGCTAACATTGGACTTGTCAACATACACTTTGTCAAACAAATGATCACAAACACTAAGTGGTAAGAAAAAAAATGTATTCAGATGCTTCTTTAGGTGAATTGAGAACAAGATCAGAAACATTAATTGGTGTGATGTACAAAGTGAATAATAATAAAAGTAAAGCACAATGTATGACTACCCCAATAATGAAGATAATTCCCCAGCTGAAGGCAGAATCATTTCCGAGGACCAGAGAGCTGACGCTCAGAATATTAATCACCCTTTACAATCTGTAAATCAATATGAAATAAATCAGAACTTACTAAATCCACTATCGAACAACCAGCCTAGTGATTTTCATCTCAATACAATTCATCATGCCTGTCATTATGTCCTTCCAAAAAACTTAACTCGTTTCTGGAGGATTTTGATCATGAAATCCTAGTGATGGTGGACGAAACTAACCCATAGTTTAGGCCTAATTTTGCCCACGAAAAGTTTGGAGAAACTTAAATGTGAAATTTAATTCCCTGACCACAAATTCAGTATTTGTAAAAAATAATTTTATATTAACCTTTCTGCTTCTACTTTCAAGCAAGGCCCTGAGTTATTGACTATTGATTGATTGATTGATTGATTGATTGATTGATTGATTGATTGATTGATTGATTGATTGATTGATTGATTGATTGATTAAAAATTTATTGATAAAAAGAAATTCACTTGGTCGAAAAGTATGTATTAATAAAAAGAGACTAGGTCACATGTCCGACATACGATTGGACGACACTTCATATTAATGTTTCATTTTTTTTTTGGATATTTATTGTTTTAAAATTTTAAATATAATTTTCAATATTATTATCGCTGGTCACTTCCTTCTTTCTATTCACTTTGATCATTTTCGCCTCCCACATTTCCATCACCATCAATTGTAATATCCATATTATCATTGTTGGACATTTTTAATTTATAATTAAAAAAGTATAAAACACATTCAGGTGTCAATTTGTTTCTCTTTTTTATCATGTATAAAAGAAAAGGGGACCAATTCCTTTTAGAAGCAAGCTGATGAAATACGAGCTGAAACTATCAATTCTATCCAGTTTAGCAAAATGAGGCCAAAATTTTTTGATTTTGTCATTTCTTAAAAATACTATCAATAATAATAACTTGTGTAAAAAATTATTTTTTGAACAGAATTATGTATGGGGACATTGCATGATGCAATGCGATTTATATTTGAAAATTTTAAAGTTTCGCCTACAGTTTAGTCGATTTTTAAGTTTCGTCACGAGTTTAAGAGCCAAATTCTTGATTTAAACTATTTCAGATTTGCTAAATAATTTCGGCCACCAACATTAGTCCTAGTAAAGTATACACGCTAAGATTATTTCCTGGACTTCGATCGATTGCCGCCACATCAAAATAACAGAGATATCTTGCCTGTTCATTATACAATACTGCGAAAAACCGTAGATTTCCACCTGTTATTATTATTATAAATCCTCTTTTCGTTTGGATAGAGATGTCATAACTACCAAAATGGTCTATAGGATTGATATTACGTAACATAGGTTGATTCATTGAAAACATATTAATAATATATTTAATTGAAAATTTTAAAGTACTATATACTATTTCCAATTATACCATACTTAACCTCCCTCCAAACTTTGTAATCCGCATCAGTACTCCAGAAGAACCCATTTTTTTCTGGACCTCGATAATATATCAGTTTCTATTGAAATTGTATGTGTAATTTACTACGGAAATTCCCTAAGTAGCCACAAAAATCTACATTTGTTCTCAATGGTACTTTGTCATTTCCTTAAAGTTTTGTGATACCATGTTCGTTTGAACACACTATAAAATAACTACAGAATTAATTATTTTGAACTTTTTTCATTTCTTTTTGTTTTCATGCATCAAACTTCTAAAATTAAATTTTTTTTCGCATTTTCACTTAAATAATAAATATTCTTCGTTCAAATAGTCATATATAATTGTTTTTTATGAATAATAATGGAATCGGATAATGATGATAAAGACTCAAATCAACTACGCAATAAAAAGCTAACAGTTTCTTATGGTAATAAAGAAGGTCTAGGGGAGGATGATGGCGATGAACAGTTTGATGATTGTGACGCAACTTTAGCAAAAGAACTCGAAGCAGATCCCAAGACTATCGATGACTTAAAACAAGAATCATTAGGCACGAGTCAGGAAAATTCGAATGATCACCCAGATCAAGACGATCCAAACCAAAATAAAAATCTATCAAATGATCTCTCACACAAAAATAAATCATATGAAAAATCGCATAATACAATTGATTCTCAAAAAGCAGCTTGTAATGACAAAACAGATTCATCACATTCAGATTCTCATCACCATCAGGCTTCAAATCAAGATGAATCATCTGATGAACAGAATTCTCCAATTGGAAATCAAAACTCTCAACACAACCAGGCTTCAAATCAAGATGAATCATCTGTTGCGAGGGATCCTCCAATTGAAAATAAAAGTCCTCAACACGACCAGGCTCAAAATCAAGATGAATCACTTGATGAACAGGATCCTCTAATTGAAAATAAAAATCCTCATCACCACCAGGCTTCAAATCAAGATGAATCACCTGATGAGCAAGCTCCTCCAGTTGAAAATCAAAACTCTCAATACAACCAGGCTCAAAATCAAGATGAATCACCTGATGAACAGGATCCTCTAATTGAAAATAAAAATTCTCAACACAACCAGGCTCAAAATCAAGATGACTCATATGATGAGCAGTTTCCTCCAATTGAAAATAAAAATTCTCAACACAACCAGGCTCAAAATCAAGATGAATCACCTGATGAACAGGATCCTCTAATTGAAAATAAAAATTCTCAACACAACCAGGCTCAAAATCAAGATGGGTCACCTGATGAACAGGATCCTCTAATTGAAAATAAAAAACCTCATCACTACCAGGCTCCAAATCAAGATGAATCATCTGATGAACAAGATCCTCCAATTGAAAATAAAAATTCTCAACACAACCAGGCTTCAAATCAAGATGAGTCATATGATAAACAGTTTCCTCCGATTGAAAATCGAAATCCTCATCAACAACAAAACAAAACAAACTATAATAACGATGATACTTTTGTTGATGTATCAAAGAAGCATGATTCATCTGACAAAAATTGGAAGGATTTGCGTCGTAAAATTAATATTTTTTCAAAAAAAGAAAATGACAACGTGCCTCCAGAATCTTTTGTAACAAAATTTCATGTACATTTACCATCAGATGTTAAAGGCACACCTATAGTTACTGGTAATGTGCATGAATTAGGCAATTGGAAAAAGCCAATTGTAAAACTTGTAAAGAAAACTAAAACATACTGGGTGTCGAGAGAAATTGAATTTCCATTAGAAGTAAATTCTCAAATCAAATACAAATACGCATTATCTCGCTCTGGACTTATAAGCGAATATATAACTGGATATGAGGGATATCATGATGATGATCGAACTCTAGAAATTTTTACCAATAATCAATTTGACGTTTGGAAAAATAATTACTCATTAAGTTGCAGACCTGGAGATATTGATAATAGTTTCACCGAAGTTATATATGATTCTGTAACGCATGTAAATTTTAAAGAACAAGTAATGGAATATCAAAAATTATTAAAACACCATCATTTCACTGTTGGTCTTAGTACTGCAGAATTTATTGACAAGAAAATATCAGACAGCGAAGAAAAAAACAAGAGGCTATTCTTGTGTATTTTACTTGGTTATTATATTAATGAGCGAAAAAATAATCATAGTTATTATTATGAGTTACCCTCTCACTTCAAATCAGCCCCATTAATCGATTCTTTGGGAACTGTATTCAAGGATACTTTCCCATCAGACACCAATCATATTGTAAAACAAGCTGTCAATCTTTTGTTTAGACATAATTGTCTCAATGGCTCATTTGAATGGCTGAAATTATTTTCTGTCGCGCATATTATTGATCCAAAATATGAGTTTCTTGATGTTCTTGTTGGCGCCGAATATAAACCAAAAGATCCAGAATCGTTGTTTGAGAATATTGAGAAATATGTCAAACCACATATTGATCATATTGAAGATAAGAATGTTTATGTAAAAATCGCCGAGGTAATACTTAAATTCATGTTTAAAGTCATTTTATTTTACTATTAATAATTTCTAATGTCAATTCGGCTCTTTTCTTGGGGCATATTATAGTTTTTCTTACAAGTCTGTAATGACATTTCTGTTTTATTAAAAATGTGGGACCATATAATTATTCACAAACCAAACAAACTTGAGCGTGTATTCCTCGAAACTATTGAAGATAACTTTTCTCGTGATAATCCATGTCAATTATATCAACAGGTACAAATCCTTTCTGAAGAAATGCAAATTAGTTATTCTAGAATAATTTGCCAAATATGCTTAGATATGCTCAAGAATACAAGAAAAAATTGGGGACGTGAACATATTAAATCTATATTGTTATTTCTGAAGCAATATAAATGGGACAAAAGAGAATTTCTTGATGCTCTTGACTATATTTCTAAATCAACAGATTTGAACTTATCGAAAGCTTTTCCTGATCTATTGGAATACTGTTTTAAAACTTTCACCATTAAAGATTCAGAAATTTTGAAAATATGTAATCAATGGTTTGATCAAAATTTAGATATTGTAAAAAAGAATAAAGCAAGTGATTTCAACGAGGTTAAATTCATTACAATAGTCTTTAATAACTTATCTGAACTTTATCCTACAATTGGTGAAAGAATCAAAATTTTTAATTCTTTGTTGGATCGTGCAGTTGAAAGAACAATTCAATGTTCTGAAAATTCCGTTTTTAAAGCAACATGTTCAATTGCTAAATCCCAAAAACAAATTTGTGTGAGATATTTTGATGTGGTAAAAGAAGCTTTAGAAAAATCGCAAATAAGACCCAATCAACAATTAATCCAAACGGTTCGAGAAATTTGTGGATGTAATAAAGGAGAAAAATTTAATATTCCAAATGAGTACATATGAAATCATAAATATGTTGCTATTTTTATCAAAAAAGCTATTATTTTAATTCATTTTTTTTTCTGTTAGGTTATGTGAAAATATAATTTGCTTTATAATGACAAAACTACAAGATCGAAATACTTTAAATAGTGATTCAGAATATTACATTAGTATATTTAAATCAAAAGATTTTTGGATAATGATCTTTAATGCAACGGGATCAATTGGATATCTAAATTCACACGAACTAGTTTTACAGTACAGGAATTCTATCAAAGAACTAGCAGAATTGATTTCAGATAGAACTATAAATTTTCTACTATTGAAAAAATTAATTGCTGTTGACAGTGATGAGAATTTCGTTAAGCTTGATAAATTTTTTAGTGCTGCAAATTATAATAAAAAATCGGATTCAATAACTATTACGTTGGATTCAGCAGTTTTTATTACAAGAACCATACTAGAAGATGTTAAAAATGAAATCAAAGAATATGAAAATAAGATGGATTATCTTGATACATTCTATCTCGGATTATCTCAAAATGAAAGAATAGTTGATACACAATCTTATATCGATGATCTGGAAAATAAAAAGAAATTTTTATCAAAACTTACACTTAAGGATATCTTATTACCTGATTATTGGGCTTTCCATAAAAACATTTCACAATCTGCAGAATCCGTTTATCAATTTAGAACATCTCAATCATTTAAGAATATTTTTGAATTCTGCTTACAAAAAAATGAAAGTTCTACTTTAACGGTTGAAACTATAGCTAGTATAATCATTCCTAATACATTTACTGATTATGAACAAACGTGTAAAACATATGAAGATTGGAAAGGAATATCATGTTTAAAAGCTTGTGAATTTTGGAAAGACGTTAAAGATATAGACTTAGAGCTTGGGTTGATGAAGAATTTTCTTAAACTACCCAAGGAAAAGAAATTCTATAATACTATCCAATGCCTTTCTCAAATTCCTGTTTATAAGGAAAAATTAGCAAATTTAGATCAAGTCATAAAATTTTTTCAAGATTCACACGATAAAGAGAGCCAAGTCACACACGTTTATAAATATTTATGCAGTGGTGATTTATTGTTGGAAAAATTAACAAAATTTTTTAATTCCCTTGATAAAAAACTTAAAGAGATGGATAATGAAAAATGTTGGAGTTTAATCAAGGAATTAATGGATGCAGAAGTACTTGTTGATTTTCTTAGATTAATCAAAAAAGATGATATTAAGAATTTAATTAATAGTGTAGATGATCATTCAGATGAAAAACTTATTCAAGAAGACGCAGTTTCATCTTTTATTGAAGTAAAACAATTCATAACACCGTTATTGAATATTGATGTAGAAAAGTCACTTGACGATTTTCTTGAGGAAATTGGAAATATCATCAAAGCGAATCCTAATCTAGCTACTAAAGTTGTTTTATGTAATAATAATTGCAGGGCTTTAAAAAATATGTATGAGAACATCTCAAATAAAGGTGAAGTAACGAAAGAAAAAATTAAAAATGCAGTGATGAAAGGATCCTATATTTTTAAAAGGGACACAAAAGAAGACAAATGCAGTGCGATATTGACATATACTTCTGATAAGGAGGCCCAAAATTTATCCTACACTTTTAATGATCTTCAAGATTTACGTGGTCGTGCAATATTACTTGCAAAACCAGCTGTAAACCTCAATTTATCACTTGTGAGTGCATTAGAAGATGTTGAAAATTTTAAACATTCTATGGATGAATTCGTTGAACAAGTTGATATTGCCCAGGATATAATTAATATTTCATCAAATCTTATACAAATAGGGCATTTTGAATTCAGAAAGTTTAAAGTGACTGTCAAAGGAACTGATAGAATGAAAGAATTATTAAAAGAATATAAAGAAAAATTAAGAGAATGGTATGTAAGCCAATGGTTATACTTATATATAAACTTGTTTAATAATTATTAATAATATGAAAAAAAAACTTTTTTTGTAATCAATAATAAATAATAGGAAGAATATAGTGAACAAAGCACAAGAAAAGCATTATTATTTAACATTCTTCCCTGGCCGACATATCCTTACATTCTATGACTATTTTTCAAATGTTAATAGTCATAATGTGATTGAAGAATCTCGAATACTTATTCGATTTGTAAATAGAAAAGCCGAATTACCTTCCAATAAAGAGTTCTTGGGGATTTCTTTTAAAAAGAATGATTACTATGAGATCCTTTGTGAAATTGGCAGAAAGTTGCAACACATTTTTGAAGTTTTTCCAAAAAAAAACCGCCAGATCAAAAGCATAGATAATTGTATAATGACAGACGTTGTGCTAAATGGAAAATTATTTGTGGCAGCTTGTAATGAAAAGTCGCGTGTTCCAAATATCATAATGTCCTTATATGCAAATCACAAATCTCATCCTGAACCATGGCAACTTTTAATATGCACTCCTTTAACAACTTCAGAAGAATTAATAATTTTTATCAAGCGTTGTTTTTTTGCAGCAAATAATGGGTATAATGATCATTTATTTTGCATGGCAAATTTAGAATTGTTGGATTTTGAATTACAATATAATTTGGTCAAATTTATCAGGTTGATGTGTAAACAAGAAGAAAACTATTTATTAGCATTGATTTGTTGTCGTGAGCATGGAATGCACCATCACATTCTAGACCAATTTTCACAAGATGTATATGGAACTAATGGTTTGAATACTGAATCAATGAAAGCAATATTTCATGAATTGTGTCCAAATGTGGTTTCTGTATCTTCAGATCTCTCTGGACAAGGAAAGACAGAATATATTATACAAGATAGTTATAAAAAAAGAAAAATTGTTCATAGTCTTCTTATTAGTGATAGTTTAGATTTCAGAAAACTTGTTAACCAACTTAAAGAATGCAAATTACGTCAAATAGAAAGTCTACACTTGAACATTGTCTCAGCTGATAATCCCACCGAAGTGAACATGTTTCTTTTTGAATTACTAACTTTAGGAATTGTCTCTAATAGTATAGATATTGCCATTTTACCCATAACCGAAATTTATATTGAAGTTGCTTCAACAACTGGTCAACATTTATTAAATTCTCTTCCAATCACAAGTTATTTTAAAAGAGTGCATTTGTCATGGAACATCCAAAATCTTGTGATATCCCAAGAAATCAATAGTCCTATTCAAATAGTGTGTCATTATTTAAATGCATTTGATCGTAATGCTCTTGATGAAATTGACATTCTTTTTAAGACTAACAAAAAAATCACGGCTCCTTTGCGTGCAAATGTATGTCGTGAACTTATAACAAAATATTACTTTAATCAAGACGCTGATGATATATCATCATTTAGATTTATAGAAGTCTTTGTAAATGTGTTTGCTGATCAATTAGTTAGATTTTCTTCAAGCCAATTTTTTCAAGTTGGAAATCTTAAACAAATGGTAAAGGAAAAGGGCATTAGATCAACTTTATTTAAAACATTACTTGAGGTATCAAAAGATTTTGCAACCAGATCAATTAAGACCAAAGCTGCTCAATTGGAATCAATTAAAATCAAAGGTACTCAATCAGAATTAATAAATATCAGTAACTTTGAAATTGCGAAATTAAGTACAATAATTCGTTGGGATGATTCAAATCATCTACTTGTATTTTTCATGTCTCAATCGCCTGATTCAATTTGTGCTCTATATCGTGATAAAACAATGGTTCCAGATAATGTAAAGATGTTGTTAAAGAGTCAATCGTTTGGACGAAATCATGATGGCTGGGAGCTTGATGACTATAATAAATTGAATCCAAAAATTCTTCTAGAAAAATTAGAAGGTCTTGCAAGAAAGACCTTACATGATATTACATATCCTAATTATGCGCTGTCTGCTGACAATTTAATCAAAATGGCACTGATTTTATTAAGAGCTCGTGCAAATATTCCAGTAATTATGTGTGGTGAAGCTGGTTGCGGAAAGGTAAAAGAGTTTTTATGGTTGTTGTTTATTTAAATTAAGTTCGTATGAAACATTCATTGTTAATGGAAAAAAAACTTTTTATTGTTATAAATAGACTAGTTTAATAGCATTTTTGGCAAAAGCTGTTGAAGTTGATTTTAAGGCATTAAATCTACATGCTGGTGTTCAGGAAGAAACAATAATAAATTTTGTTAAAGATGCTCAACAGAAAACCGTTAAAGGAGAAGTATGGTTATTCTTTGATGAAATCAACACCTGTAATCATATTGGACTATTATCTGATCTCATTGCTCATAGAGTACTTGAGGGAAGACCAATTCATCCAAACATTCGACTTTTTTCAGCATGTAATCCATACCGCATACGTACTAAAAGTCTCAGTGATGCAGGATTAAAAACTAAAGTAAAGATATACGAAGAACAAAGTAGACTTGTTTACCAAGTTAAACCATTACCTGATCAAATTTTGGATTATGTATGGGACTATGGCGTACTTCAACCAAATGATGAAAAGAAATATATTGAAATCATGTTACAAGACCAAAAACTTCCTCAAGAGCTTTTAAGAGATCATAGAATTTTGACTGAAACTTTATTTGCTTCACAAGAATTCATTAGAAAAATTGAGGAGCCATATAGTGTTAGTTTACGTGATGTAAAAAGAGCCATAAAACTTGTGATATTTTTCTATGAACATCTTAAGGATAGACCAGCTAGAAAAAAACTACCTCATGAAAAAAATAACCCAGCTAAATATCCTAAAAGCAAACCAAGTTTGCATGTGCGTTCATACATTTTAGCACTGGGACTATGTTACCACTCCAGACTATATGAGAAAGAATTGCGTAATAAATACAAGGAGGAAATTGCAAAAATATATAATAAATATGATAAATCATTTAAAAAGGAAACATTTGATTTGATTTTAAGAGAGGAACAAGAAGATAATATAAAAAGAATGATATGTCCACCAAATACTGCCTTTAATGAAGCATTGTTAGAAAATGTTTTGGTTATGATAGTGTGTATTTTAACCAAAATTCCAGCATTTATTATTGGTTCACCTGGGTTAGTATTTATTTTTCTTATAGTTAAAATAAAAATTATATTTGATTGTTCTTTTTAACCGACCATTTATTTAATAGATCTTCAAAATCCTTAGCAATAAGGCTTGTGAGTCAAAATTTACGTGGCGCAGACTCAAACGATCCTTATTTCAGAAAATTGCCACAGGTATTAATTAACTTATCTTTATTAAAATTTATCTCATCATAATATCTAAAACATTTATTATTATTTATTTTTTCAAAAAAAATTTTTTATAGGTTTATCTCATTCCACATCAAGGATCTTCTTCGTCCACTTCAGAGGGTATCTTAAAAGTTTTTGAAAAAGCCAATAAATATCAAGAAACTAGTAGAGATGAATTTCCTGTAATCAGTGTTGTATTATTGGATGAAGGTATTTTATTGATCTAAAAAATGAGTTATTATCTTAATTTAATAAAATTTACTAATAATAGATATTTTATAAAAATTTAGTTGGATTGGCTGAAACCAGTCCATTCAATCCATTAAAAGTACTTCATTCTTTACTGGAACCAAGCTACCCAGCAGATGATAGTAAAGTTTCTGTAATTGGTATTTCGAATTGGAGATTAGATAATAGTAAAAGTAGTAGGGCTCTATTAGTACAAAGGTTTGTTGTATTAAACTTTATTTTGATTTTATTATGAGTATATATATTTATTATATATATATTTTGTAAATACATTATATTAGGCCCAAATTTGATCTGGATGATTTGATTGATACAGCACTACATTTATTACAAAATAAAAAAATCAAAAGTGCAACTTTAAGACCATTAGCTCAAGCATATTCTAAATATGAACAAGATGGGCAAATACTTCCTAATTTTCATGGACTTCGAGATTATTATGCTTTAGTTAAAAGTCTTTCATCAAAAAATTTGACTCCTGATAATATTCAAATGACATTGGCACGTAATTTTGGTGGGACTGGAGAACATAAAAAATTATGCGAAGATTATTTTGGAGAAGTATTAAATGCATTTAATAATCACCAACATAGAAGTTATAAATCAATACCTGTTTTAGATTTAATCAGAGAAAACTTGGATGATAAAGATGCAAGGCATTTAATGGTTATAGGAAAAAGTGAATCAATAGTAAATATATTAAACTATGAGTTGCGACAAAGGCAACTGGATCCTGTTATAATATTAGGCTCGCAGTTTCCTGAAGATCAAGATGATTATTCATATAACATTTTAAATAGAATTATGGCAAGTTCAAAAAGTTTATATTTATATTTTTTTATTTTTATAAATTAAATCTTATTTATTATTGTTTTTTTTTTAGATGTGTGTTGAAGCAGGAAGACCATTAATTTTGACAGATTTAGATGTTATTTATGGCAAGTGTATTTTTTTTGAAATCTTTTCCAATGATAATGATTAACATTTTTTATGTTTTTTATAATCACAGGAAGCCTTTACGATTTATGGAATCAAAATTATATTGTTATGGGAAGCAATGATAATCCTAAATATTATACTAGAGTTGCATTGGGGGCATATGCGAATCCGATGTTGTATGTATGATTGATAAATAAATAATATACATATTATATTATTTTTTACATTAATAAATATTACCTTGTATTTTATTAGATCTGTTCACAAGGATTTTAGGTGTATTCTTGTTTTTGAAGAGAAAAATTTACAATATGCTGATCCACCACTTTTGAATAGATTTGAGAAGCAAAAATTAGTGATTGATGATATATTGACACAAAAAGAAAATGAAATTATTGCTGAACTAAATGCTTGGGTGAAGAAATTCTCTACAGTTTCAGAAAGTAATGTTCAATCATGCAATAGATTCAATCAACAGGATTTATTTATTGGTTTTGATTCTAATGAAACCATACAAAGTTTGGTTATAAATATAATAAGAACATATCCAAATGCCAACAATCTAACAATTCTCGAGAAATGCAAAGAATGTCTTGTTGCTATTGCAACTTCTGATGGAATGATTAGATCTGAAAATTCCTTATTGAGCCGTGAAGAAGTACTTAAATGGAAAGAATATTATTTTAAAGTGCAGCATCATAATAGTCTTTTTGATTATTTTAATGCATTGCTAAAACAAAATGTCCTAAATACGGAAGGAAAACAAATTATTGTAAATACATTTTCAAATATCAATACTGATGTGGAGTCTTGTCTGTCAAATAAAATCAGTTGCCAAGTTGATAAACTTTCAACATTCAAGTCTGAAACACAGTTCCAAAATAGAATCAAACATTTTTGGTTGGAATCAGACAAGCAAATGTTGATTCTCCAGTGTGATATAACGACAGTGAATGCTGGATGCATTAAATTGGCCAAATTTGTTATTGAACAATTTCGTGGAGAATTCTTAGCAAAAAGACAAAATATTCCAATGAAACACACATGTATTATTTTACACATTCACCGGGAACAAGAACAGCCTTTTGTTTCATTTAATTTTATGTGTGGATGGGAACAGGTTACAATTGATACATTACAAATACAAGATAGGAATTTATCCAGTCTTTTGGAAAAACCTATCATTGATATTATCAATACTACATATCCATTTGAAGAAATTTTGAAACGTGAATTGCTATGGTGTTTATCATGCATGAAATATTATTCTTCACAAAAATCACTGGATCATATTAAGTATATATTTTAAATTTTTAACATTAATTTATCCAAGTAAATTGTTTTAAAAATTAATTTATTGAATTTATGTATATTTAGATTTTTAAATTTACAAATCCCAAATAATGAAATTCTGGTTAAATATTTGGAATGTAGAACACAACAATGGTTAGAAACAAATTCTGAAACAAACTGGCAATATAAAGTTGCATCAAATAAGATGCTTTTATTCCCATATTCTTCATTCTCGGGAGCATTACAAGCATATCTACGTACCATTGTTCGAAGCCAAATTGCAAAATTGTTATTTGCAATTGAAAAATTATCAGCAACTAAGACCTTATTTTTGATTGATGGACCACAAAAAGATGAAGATGAAGAAGAGATGGAACAATTCCAAAATTTACTTGAATTCTGGACAGAATGCTTTATGGATCCAAAAATTGTAAATACAGTTGAAATACCAGACCTTAAACCAAATGGATATAATATGCCTTTCATTAATTATGACCTTGAATTTCCATTTTCATATTACTTTATGAAAAGAATCGATTCGTTTAAACAATTATTTGAAGATGAAATAAATAAACTTGGGGAAAATGCTGAAAATATTGATCCTCGAACTGGCGAACTTTACCAGCATTGCTTTGATGAATATACAAAAGGATTTTCAACAATTGTTTTAAACTCGATACCACTACTCAAAAAATTATCATCATTGAACCAGTATCCTCCACATTTATACATTAATGATTTTATTACAGTAGTTTCTTCTAATGATTCTGCTGGTAGTAGAAACCCAGAAATTTTTAGATTTTTACTTCAAAATCATATGGGGAAAAATAAAATTTTGAATCCAGTTTTCTTGCATGCATATTGGTGGAGAAATGCAAATACTGTCTTAGCTGAATTTCAGTTAATTCAAATAAGCCCAATGGTTATCGATAAAATAGCAGAATGTGACAACTCAGAATCATTTGAATATTCGTTGGTTAATAAGATTGCAGCAATTATGTTACGAAATATTAATGAATTACAAAACTTGGAGCAAAATTTATCCATTGTTAAAGAGTGGCAACGAGATGTTACAAAAGTTTTATCACTTGGAGCAAAGATTTTGAAAGGTCAATCATTGCCTTCGCTTCAAATCTTACGTATTTGTAATGATTTCATATCAACAAAATCTATTCCACTATCAAATATCAAAGAAATAATTGCACTTGGAAAAGATTCAATTGGACAAGAAACTCTTTCAACTGAACTTATTGAGAAAGTATTTGATATCCTTTATCAAGTTGAACCAACTGAAAAAACCCTTATTTCAAAAAGATCATTCCTTCTTAGATGCCTTGATATCATTAAACTTGAATCAAGTTTTAGACCGCATTTCTATAATAAAATTTTCAGTCAAGGACCATTTCCGCTCATGGGTGTAATAATACAGCGTATCTTCTTGGAAGAAGATAAGGATAAAGAAGAAAGTATTTTTTTGACCATCTTAGAAAATCCAAGTTTGGCAAGATTAAACATAATAAATACTTGTCTAAACAAGCAAGGACTTGACTCAATGATGTCCACATTATGCTGTGATATTATTCAAACATTATTTGCAACATATGCATATGAATTATCAGACTTGGCAGAATATTTTGGATCTGCAGCCAGAGCAATAATTAATCCTAAAACAGAATCTTTGCAAAAAATAACAGCAATTGCTTTACTTAAAGAATTTGTCATAAAATTCTGGGATGAATGTATTCAAGAGCAAAGCTGTTCCCAACCACTAAAACTCGAATCAATGGATGTGGATTTTGAAGGTTTAATTAATGAAATCAACAATTTTATGAGCATGCCACTTGAATTAATTTACTCGTTAAAAATATATTTTATAAGAGTTTTGCGTAAAAGACACAATTTTTCACTTAATGACGTAAAAATTTTTTGTAATAGACAAAGTAACACACTTCCATGGCTTGCAAGTATTCCATGGGAAGACAAATCTCAATCTAGACTCTCATTTAATCCTTACTGGGTTTTAGATGTGTATTCAGAAGCTGAGAATGGATTTTCCAATTGCTTTTTATTTAAAAATAAAGCCCCAATTAGAACCTTCCTGCAATCTTTATCAAAAAATAAATCAATAGAACATAGAATTGCATTTGGTGGATTACTTATACATCGCATGCATTTAGTTCGTGCCTCAGAAGAATGGAATTCTGAATATGAAAATATTAGTAAGGATTTTATGACTGAAATCAATGGAATGAACACGCTTTCACCACCATATCAAAATATTATTGGAAATATTCTAGAAAATAAACAACCGTTTCTTCAATTAGACACCAATGTAACATATGAACATTTACTGATTAAATCAGTGATTGGACATATTGTAATACTGCATTCATCAATTCCTGCAGACTCATCACCATTAACTGTATATTTAAATAGTTTAGAAAATTGCCATGAACATTTTCTTTTAACATTACCAACTGATAATGAATCAGTTATCATGAATGCTATAACATCTAAAGAGAAAATAACAAGGTAAAAAATTCGATTTTTATATTATTTATTTTATTTTACATGATGATAATAACAATTACTTTTAATTAAATTAGATATTCATGCAGGTGTGGTTTTATATATTTTATAGCAGATTGTGGAAACACAAATCAATCAAGCACATGCCCACAATGTAAAAACGCAATTGGAGGAGAAGGTTATGAAATAGCTCCTGGGAATCAAAAATTGGATGTAAATCCAATCATAAATGCGACGATTGTGAATCAACCTGGTTATGTTGAAGATCAGATTGAGACTGGAATTGGTCATACTGTTCGTTCCATGCAACCAAATGCATATCGTATTTTACATTTAATGGTTCATGCTTTGATTGGATCTTCAAATAATGCTAAAAACTTCTTAAAAAAGATTACAAACAATGTTGAAGAATATTGTTTTCGACATATAGAAAATGATTGGAATGTGCTTAAACAAATTTTTAATTGTAATGATGAAAACTTAGCATTATTATTACATTTGATTCTTACAGAATTGACAAAAAAAATTCCTGGTGGCGCATCATTAATTAAAACTCCTGCTCAACGGGATGAATGGGAAATGCAATTTAGCAAAAATTATGTTGAGCCGTCAACAAAGATTTTCAATAAATCAATTGCAAATTTTTATAGAGAATTAAACGAAGCTTCAAAAAAAGCAAACGGAAATGATAGTTTAATCGAATCTGAAATTAACCAGACCATAGAAATGGATAAAAATTATATGATGAAGCATTTACCAAGACTTTGGAGAACAATAGGAACAATAAATTTTGAAAGTTTCAGAGCCTATTACTTTGCTGACCAATTCAAGAACAGTAAAACATATCCAGTTCTTTTTGTGTTTTTTAAACATTCTGAGAAATTAACACAGATTAAACATCTTTTCTCCATTATTAAATTTGTTGAGATAATGACATCAAGGCTTGAGTATAGAATCAGTAGGCAAAAGGCTCGGGAAATGACATTCCGGGATTTTATAAATAATGAATCAAATGGAGGAGTAATTCAAGAGACATATAAAATGTTGGAAGATGCATTTAATGAATTTTCATTAGCATGGAATGCAGTGAGCGAACAAGTTAAGATATATCGGTGTAAAGAATTTAAAAGTGGCATACCTAAAATAAATTTAGATTGTCCCATTGTTTTTGGATTAGTTGAAGAAAAGGATATAGGGATATATATATGCGCAATTATAAATTATCTTGTGAGATTACAAAATGATTTCTTGCAAGAAATAATGGTAACCCCAAGTGAATCATTAAAATTTTTAGAAGAACCATCATCTCAAGTCAATGTTGAATCAACATTATCTCAATCAAATGATCATAATAATCCGCTAACAACTAATCGAAATTGTGTGCAATCGTTGAGAATAAATCTGTTAAGGGAATCAAATATAATCAAATATAATTGGAATGATAATATTATTCAATATAGTGAAAGAAATCTTGATATTGGTTATGGAGATGATGTTATATATGATTTACAAAAAATTGAGCTTGAACTTGCACGTTGGCTGATATTTGGTAAAGCATATATTGAAACTATACCAAACTCACATTTATATTTGGAACCTTTTTCATATCATATGGAGTTGTTCCAGGGGTCTATGAGAATTCTTGGTGAAATCAAAAATATAATTCCACAAGAACCCATTCCTATTGAAAAGATATCATTGATTAAGGAGGAAGCGGAGCACTTGAATAAAATTTCATTTACACCATCACGACGTGTTTTGGACGATCCAAGTGATATTTTATCATCACTGGAAGTACTTTTATGTTTTGTTAAACTCAATGCAGTAGGACAGGGGGACATGTTAATACAAAATTATGTAACACAATGGGTTAAATTATCACCATTGATAATGAAACCTGGATTTGCAAAGGTGTTAAATGCAGGTCTAACCTTAAAACATATAGTGGCATTGTATGAATTTGTAGAGGAACAAGTAGCCGATAGGTTGATTGGATATATTGATAACATGTATAAAGAAGAATTGACAACAGTACAAAAGGATGAAATTTCATGTATAGTTGATTTTACTAATAATCAACAGTACCAACCACAACAATCAACGATGGACCAAAAAGCAAAAATACCAGCAGATGCACTTATTGTAGCATTGAAAAGATTTATGTTTAGATTTTTGTCAGCAGAATCAAATGATTACTCAAAGCATCTATTGAAAACGTATTTAAGCGACGAGGATTTGAATTATTGGTCTTCAGGAATTGATGAAACAACAATCGATTTACTTCCAGATACATGGCTAAATTCACATACATTTGCAATATATGAATACTGTCTAAATCAAGTTAAAAAACATATGCAGGAGCCAAACACCAAAAAAACAAGAAGACATAAACAAAGAATGATTTTAAATGAAGCAAAGAAATTTGATAATTGTTGAAAAACTATTTTATAAATTTAGCTCTTTTTTTATGAATTTTGGTATTTTTAGTAAATAAAAAAGAAAAATCTTGTCAATCTTGATTAAAGAAATACAAATAAGGAAAAATTGCTTTATATATGTATGTATATTAGCAGGGCCCCGAAAACTACATAACCTTTTCCTATTTTTCTTTCTCTCTATCTCTCGTCAATAATAATATCCATTGATATTAATATTAATATTGTTTGATCAAATTTGCACAATTCTATCCATTATTCATTTGATTCTTTTGGTTCAAATTATTCAAATAAGGCCCCGGACAGTAAAAATCGAGTATTTTTTTGCCCTTTTAAGATTTCCTGGGTAGAGATGATATTCAAATACTCAATTATTGCAAAAACATTATTTGATTTCATAATTACGGTGCAGATCATCTATAATCATTAATTGCTTATAGTAACAATCGGTCAACTTCAAAATACTAAAACAAAAAATTTTTGTATCATTTTAAAAAAGTTAACCGATAAGTTTTATTGTCTATG